TATAGATGGGGATGTTAATAGTAGAATTCAAGTTGGTTGGTTGAAGTGAAGTAATGCTTCGGGAACTTTTTTGTGTGATAAAAAAGTACCGCTTAGACTGAAAGAAAAATTTTATAAGATTGTGGTGACACCTGCAAGATCTGTGACGCTGAATGTTGGCCTTTAAAAGAGAAGCATAATACTAAGTTAAGTGTTGCAGAGATGAGAATGATTAGATGGATGAGTGGCTTTACACTTAGAGACAAAATGTGAAATGAATATATCCGTGATAGGGTTGGTGTAGCTTCTGTGATGGACAAAATTAGAGAAATTTGTCTTATAGATGGTTTTGTCACATTAAGCATTGACCATCTGATGATCCGATTAGGAGAGTAGATGTTTTAGATTCGACTTATGTTAAGAAAGGCAGAGATAAACCTAGGAAAACTTGGGCTTATTGTATAAAAAATGATATTAATTTATTAGAACTAAATGAAAATATGACACTAACTAGAACGCAATGGAGAAAAAGGATTCATGTAGCCGGCCCCACGTAGTAGGATTAAGGCTTTATTGTCATTGTTATTGTTATTGAAAAGTTGACTGAAAAAAATTGGTATCATAGAGTTTCGACACAAATGCAAAGTTTTATGGATTCAAATAAGAGGTTAAGTAAACTGAGGCTTGTGTGTCAGGGCTACTCATATGCTGCTCTAATCATAAGGATAGCGTGAACAAATTAGCTTTGAGTGGGCTTTCTCTTAACTTCACAAAAATTACCCATCAAAATGAATGTGGAATAAAAAAACTGGCTCCCTACCCCTGTGACGTCCCGTTATTGTTGCTGGGGGAGAGGAATCAAAGAGTTAAAACGTGAGAGAGAAAATGAAGTGTTGAGCATAGGGGAGAGGAAACGACGGGAGGTCGAGAAACCGAAGAGGAGAATCTCCCATAAAACATTGCAGTCGGCTTACCTGGAGAGTCGAACAACGAGACTCGATCCTATGCCATTGAGCAGAAGAAGAAGAAGAAGAAGGGTCTGTTTGGGGCAGCTGCAGCTTATCCAACTTATCCAGATAAGCATTTTATCCTGATAAGTTGTTGATCAGCAGCTTATCCAGATAAGTTGACTGGTTATTTGGAGCAGCTGTTTGTGGATAAATGATCATTCAGCATCTATTAAATAATATTGTTTGTAACAAAACTGTCTTGACAATATATTAGATATTGCAAAAGCAGAAAAATAAATTTTATTTTTTTAGAGTGTATCTATGTTTTTAATCTTTTGATTTTTTACCCTTAAAAGCCTCATCAAAATACTGTCATCATGCTTAATTAGCTAGACATAGTTTTTCATTATAATATATAAAATTGGAGATCAAAGAAACAATTTGATGCGGCATTGGTCATTGGAAACTAATGTTTGTTTAGCCATTGTGCAGATGCTATGAAAACCTGTTGGCTTCAACAAGGAAAGAAAAAACTCAATAGCGGCGTCCTCTCATACAAAAATAAAAATTTTCTGATAACTTACTGGCTTCAACAAGGAAAGAAAAAACTCAGACAAAAATAAACGTCCCCTCACCCTTACCTGGATGAAAGAAGAGTGTCGTTAGCTACTTTTGTGCTTGATAGAAAAATCGAATGGTGGTGCGTGGGCAACGCGAAGACAAGCTAGGGGGCATACCCAATAGAATGGTCAGTTGGAAGGAATTTGTGGAGTTATTTAAAAAGTGGTTTGTACCCCTATCTGCTCAAAGACAGATGTACGACAGACTCATCAAGTTGAAGGAAGAAGATTAGACCGTCATGCAATATGAAGCAGAATTATCTGCATTGTCGAGGTATGCACCACAGTTGATCGCTATTGCAGAAGAAAAATATTATAGTTTTATTTCAAGATTAAAAGATTTGATCAGACAATCTTGGTACCTTTAGGGATCGATGTATGCTCAATATTAGTGGAACAAGCTAGAAAAGTGGAGATCGACTATCAGTTTACTCAAAAACGTAAGGTGATCTACAAGATAAAGAGTAATGATAAAGTTGAAAATTTAAATCACTCAAAAGGATTCAATGGAAAGAGGTTCAAGAACAATTCGGGTGAAGTTAGCAGAGGTCCGACTCAGGTATATAGTCGCTTGTGTCAAATGCAGAATACAACATAAAGGTGAATGCATGATTGCCTCTAACACTTGCTATTGGTGTCGTCAGTCTGATCATATAGAAAGATATTGTCCATCTCTTAGCCAAAAGAATGTCGAGGATCAGAAATCAAATGGAGCTCCTTCACAAAAGACTATAGGTAGATAAGAAAAAATCGGGACTATAACTTCAGCTTCTACCCAAGGTCAACCAAGTCAACTTATTCGACCTCGAGTATATTTCCTTGCTCATAGAGAGTCTGAAGAACCTACTGCTGCTAAAGGAGATGGGTTTGATGAGTTTGGCGATTTCTTAAATAAGGGTATTTTCCTAGCATTCTTTTCGTGTTAGTAACTATGTGTCGTTATTCGAAGTATAGTTAAGTGGTCTTGTATCAAGTTTTTATCTTATAGTGATTTTCTTTCATTTTAATGAATGACCCATAGTTTCATCAAAAAATTTATGGATGACTGATGTTAACCTAATTAATGAGAAATGACTTGTGGTCTATTATAAATTTTGAGGACGAATTTTTTGTAAGTGGCGAAGATGATAACATCCCATTTTTATTATCGAAGCAAAGGAATCAAATAGTCAAAGTGTGGGAGTGGAAACAGAGAGCTGAGTAGGAGGAGAGGAAATGAGGCGAGAACGGGAAGGTGAAGAGGTAAATTTCTCATATAAAGTGTCGCAGTCGGCTTACCTAGAGAGTCAAACAATGAAACTCAATCACTTGCCATCGAGCCAAAGAAGAAGAAAAGGTAGCCGAAGGAGTTGGCGGTCGTAAGAGTGGTTAGACTCACCGTGCTAGGTCAAGACGAGCCAACAACGCCGTGCTTGCGAAAAGAAAGAAGGAGGCGGTGTCTTTATCAAGCAGTAGAGGAAAGCGGCGGCATTGTCGAGGCGGGGTCGGTGCCTAGCCGAAATCAAAAAAGTCAAAGAGGACCTTGCGGAAGAAGCTCTCTAGTGCATGTGAATCAGCTCTAGCACGAAGAGAATAAGCTACTTTGTGCACAATGGACAGAGTCGTGGTTTCGCCTGCGTAAAGTAGGCGACCGACTTCGTAAAGGTAAGTTTAAATTAATGAATATATATATATATATATATATGTTCATCCGTCGTTTTGTTATTTGCTCGTCTGTTTCGTAGCGCTTCGTCTTGTCGCGTCTACCTCGTCGTGTC